TAATAAAAAGTCCAAATTTCTGTTACGTAATGTACGGCCTTGTACTGCCCGCACACTCACTCCTTTCGCGCCGCTCCGCGCACAGATTGGTGTGTGCAAGTGACGCAAAACTCGCCAATTACCGCTTCCTCCGACTGACTGACAGAAGCGACGAATCAAATTTGCTCTCAGCCTGAAATCTGATTGGTGTTGTGAACGCAACCGCGCGTGTATGTTAAACGGCCTTGCCCCTCGACGAGGTAAGCGGCCTTCTGCATGAAATAATAAATCAACTCGCAACCCCCCTCCCCTCCCCCCGGCACCTCTTCAATCACCACGGCGGGGTCGGCGAACGTGACGGACTTCAAAGGCGACCAGCAATTAACTGCAAAATGCACCGCCTAGTGATGGAAATGTAGGCAGAAAGTAGGTGCGGGGAGGGAGCAGAGAACACAGGAGGCTTGGCTTGTTTGCATCAGGGTAACTTTGGTGGACCATTTGGGATTGCCAGCCTTGTAGACCCGCCATCATAAGAAGCGCCTCAGTGAGACCGCGTACTGGCGGGACGCCATCAGCTCTTCACGTCGGTTAGAATTACTCTCAACCCCCAACAGGTTGAAGTTCAGGGTTGATAGTTTATAATTTCACCCACTTTAAGACAGTGTTACCTTATAGTAGCGAAAACAGGGTATGAGTTGTGTGCTTTTAAGTAAGTTGGGATCGTAAGGCTTCACAATAGACCCATTTGTGTCAGAAAAGGCAGGTGAACACCACAAACTAAATGTTCAATTTTGTAACCAATGATGTCATCGTATGCTAATATTTATTGTAGAGAACAGTCCACCACCAACTGACGGTCTGTTCAGATTATTCTACTAGAGTTCGGTCGATCTGACTGCTTTTAAGTCTGTCTAGATCAGTTTACTTGGATTGACATAGTTCATGCCTTCTTTACCTGAAATCAGAACCAAGGACTGTGGTTAGGCAAGAAATACGGTTCGATAACAGGAGAGGATTAGCAACATATAGTTAGTACACTTTCAACCAAAGTCTGCAAGCTTACAAGCAAGAAAACGATGGCAGTTTACGCGAGGACAGTATGGGGGATTCAACCGCATAATAAAAGATTAAGGGAAAACAAAAGTGGCGTAATTTTCCGAAAGGAGTGATTAACGATAAAATAAAAACTAGAGTGTTGATGAATGTAAAAATGTCATATGAAAGACTTTACTGTAAATGTCGAACTTATCAATGGTGAAGTAACGAGTCCACTGTTGTTAGAAGGTAAATAGTTTCGTTACTGTTAAATGGATAGAAGTGGAGCAAAAAGAAAGCATACGTAAGAACGTACATCTGTAGTTCACTGAAATTAAATACACATTGAAGGGGCGTTGCAAACAGCCAGTTTTAGGTATTTATAATCAGGTCATTACATGCTCATAACTAGTCATACCTTCAGATTGCATAATGGCATGCATCCTGAATTGATTATAGTTTACAGATGAAGAAAACGAGAGAGGGCATTTAACAGGGGCCTGTATCTCTAAGGTGATATGTCGATACCGCCTTTGCTAGGATAGTTTAAATAGATTTCTCCGTTCTCGGGGCATGATGCTTATCCGTAGAACTGATAGCTCACTTATGAGATGTGCTTTTCTAAAACGTACTCATGAAAGTGCTTAACCGAACCAAAGGGGAGATTATTGCAACCGTCCATTAGCAAGGGGAGTAAAGTTAACCAGTCTGTCTGGGAAACATCGATCTCACTTCCTTTTCACATCGTGGTCGAAGGGCAAGCTTAAAATTTGAATAGCTGTAGTTTCACGTGGAGACAGTTCTAGACCAGGCCTCTGTCTACGAGTAGTAACAATCAACTGTTCCTTTTGCACCGCCTGAAGTAGACTACATGACGGTCCGACCCTTGCAAGCAACGGTACTCTAGCAACGGACGAGGAGTTGCGCGTGAACTAGTTTATACTGAGGTCGACTTGCGATGCATCTACGCGCACTCGCAACACTGTTTCTGCACACCAACGTGAATACGATGGAAGGGATTGCGTGTTGTAGCTGTTGGTTCACACCGCTTGAGATTTTCAATTAGCTCGTTTAGCTTTGGCCGGGACGCTTTGGCTGGCATCGTAGATGGTTTCTCCAGTATTCACTGTCCTTCTTCAGGTCAGCCAAATCTGGGTGAGGTCCTTCCAGATCGCCCAACTGAGTTATAGGTGCCTGAAGGAAGAATTCAGAGTGTTTTTGCAAAACACTTTCTGCACTCCTAGCGACCTCACCGTGAAAGAGTTGTTTAGGTAGACACTCGTCCTCCACCCCAGCGAGATAGCCACTTCGGAACAATTGTAGTTGTCGCATCATGGCATAGATGCCAAGGATTCCGTTCCGGTACATCACTTCCATATAGAGGGTCTTCTTCTGACACCTCAGCTTTAGTATGCCGACGAGGCAGCCGGAATGGAAACGGTTCAGTTTCCCGCCTTGTTCGAAGTAAGATGATTTAGGTATTCCCCCCTCCATATAGTAGCTTTGACTATCGCCCGCTACATCTTGAGATGAAGGCCACGGCAGTTTCAAACTGAATTCCTGGCGGGCCTTGGAGGTGGGGTTCGCTACTTCGTCCTCGACCTCTGTGTTGTTTTAGATTATACTGCCTGAGTAGGCGAAGTTGTCCACCGATGCGACCCCTAATCTATTCACATTGATCCTGAACACAATCTGTTCCTTCATTGGCACTGGGTGGTGCATGACCATCGCTTTCTTTATGTTGATAGTCAATTCTAATTTAACGCAGCCGAAGGCGAAGAGATGTAAGCTTCTTTGTATACCTACTTCGAGTATCGCGTGGTGTGCGCAAATGTCTGCGAACAAGAAGTCGTGAACTGTAGTCGTGGATTTTTTGCGGTGGCGGCTTCATGCATCAGATGTTAGGAAGCCGGCCATCAGTCCCGTATGAGATGCCGATCCTAGGGCGCCACTCGTAGTAGGCGTCCACGGCAGAGAGCATGAGACTGTAGAAAGTATGAGCGAGTACGCAGCCCTGCCTCACTCTGCTGGTCACTGCGAAGGCTTTGGAGACTGTCTTCTTGTCCGTGACGCACACCATCAACAAGTCGTGCGGTTGACGCACCGCGTAATTGAAGCGCTCTGGACGTCTAAAGTTCAGCATAATTTTCCAGTGTTCGTCGCGATTCACGATGCTGACAGTTTTTGCTAGGTCCACGAAAATAGTGTAGAACTTGGTTCGCATTTCGTGGAGTTGGGTTAGACTGACATTTCAACTGTTGGTTTCGACGAGGTCCACTATGTGCAGCAGAGCATGATGGTGTTTGAACGGTGACTTGCACGTGAATTAGATTATAGTGGCGGTAAACTTACCTTGCATTTATCATTCCCTGTCTCCCTCCCCACCTGTGCTTGGTGTCAAGACAAAGTCAGGAAACCCAAGGTAGGAGAAGGCTATGGGGCTGGCGCGGATAGAGACGTCCCTAGGCGTGCAGCCACACCTGGCTTGGATCTGAATTAGACCACATACTTGCGCATGCATTAGTTCAGCGGATGGGTTGTTATTTTGCCTAATCAAGCAATTTCGTCCTAATCCGCTACGCAGGTGTTTGTTTTCCCTGAAAGGTGCATGTGCATTTGGTATCAGATATGTTCAGTGTGGTGAGCATGCCGGAAATGTGTGATGACTTTCTTAACCTAATAACTATTTTTATACTGATTAAGTATGACCAAAGTGGTTGACATAGGTTGCTTTCTACCCCTCAAAGTTTTAAAATCAAGAATTCCACGGAAAACACGTCCGTATCATCAACTGCCAGAATTTAATCACATGTTTTTATTATTGGTGTGATAGTTACTTGTCCATTTGACCTGTTGATACTGTCATTGGG